GAAAGCTGTGGCAGATACAGCCCGAAGACTGTACCAAGCCACAGCCCGAAGGCTGTGGCAGCCACAGCCCGAAAGCTGTGGCAGATACAGCCCGAAGACTGTACCAAAGCCACAGCCCGAAGGCTGTGGCAGCCACAGCCCGAAAGCTGTGGCAGATACAGCCCGAAGACTGTACCAAAGCCACAGCCCGAAGGCTGTGGCAGCCACAGCCCGAAAGCTGTGGCAGACCTCATTAGTTTCATCATCATATCCATCATACTCATTTTCATCATGTTCATCATCATCATCATCATCATCACCATCATCATTTTCATCATCATGTTCCTCATTATGTTCAGCGTCATCATCATCCTGATGATAATCATCACTGCGCATCCTCAGCACCACCAGCAGTTAGCATCATATGACCTCTGCATTTCCAGTCGGGTCAGAAGAGCGCCGTCATCATGTTCAACATCATGTTCATCATACTCGCTGCTTAAATTTGTACCCGTTTGGTCTAAACACCACTACTCCATCATCAGCATCATCATTTTCATCATCATGTTCATCATCATTTTCATTTTCATCATCATCAGGAGCAGTCGTCATGACAATCATGACAACGCATCTTCTGCATTTCCAGTCGGGTCTAACAGGACGAACATGATGCGGAACATGATCATGCTTGCTTGGCATGTTCATCATGAGGATGCGTAGTGATGATTATTCATCATCGTCATCATCATTATCATTTTCATCATCATCATTATCATCATGTTCATCATCATCATCATGTTCATCATCATCATCATGTGCATCATCATCATTTTCATCATCATGTTCATCATCATTTTCATTTTCATCATCATCAGCCATCATCATGTTCCTCATCATCATCATGTGCATCATCATCATTTTCGTCATCATGCTCATCATCATCATCATAATCATCCTCATCATCATGTTCATCATCATCATCATCATGTTCATCATCATCATCATCATCATCATCATCATCATCATCATCATTTTGATGTTCATCACATCCCCAGCATCAGCAGCAGTTATCGTGACAATCATGACAATGGTACAGCCACAGCCCGAAGGCTGTCAGCAGTTATCGTGACAATCATGACAATGGTACAGCCACAGCCCGAAGGCTGTGGCAGCCACAGCCCGAAAGCTGTGGCAGATACA